ATGACTATCATTAAGGGTTGTACCTGATGATTCTTGACTCTGATGAATGTCTCTTTTCTTTTATGGACACTGAGAGCATTTGCCCCAAGACAAATTCCTTGTGTGTCCAATCGCACTTGGCCAATAAAAGAATTCCATTCTATTCGTTCAGGCTGCAGAGGCTATTAGTATCCGAGCCAGGCTGAGTGGTGCCTTGGAGGAGCTGCCACCCCGGTTGGGGTTCGGGGGCGACAGGGTCCAGGAGGCTCAGCTAAGAGCTCTGTCGGCCAGAAAGCCTGGCAACCTTCCCCAGAGCCCCCCCCCCCCCCCCCCCCCCCCCGCCCCAGTGCGGGTGAGAGAAGGAGGCAGCTTGGCAACAGGGAGGTTTATTAACGAAGAGCTCAGGAGAGAGGGACACCGCCCTGGGCTGCTACAGACCCCCGCTGCAGCCCTGCCTGCGGCCGGACACCATGGCCTTCAGGACGAGGATGCTGACCAGGATGCTGAGGGCCAGCAGCAGGGCCACGGCCAGGGCCGCGTGGATGGCGGTGGTGACGGCGAAGGCAAAGAGGAAGAGAGTCCGGTGGCAAAAGTCCGGCTGGCCAAAGTGCTCGTAGTCTGGCGGGTAGATGGGATAGACCCACACATTGCCTGTAGGGGGAAAGAGGGGAGCGTGGCTGGGAAGGGCTGCTGCTGCTGCCGCCGCCTCCAGTCAGCCCCACGCGTGACACCAAGGGTGGCTTGAGCCCAGTTCACCAGAAAAAACCGCCATGACCCCTAGGAAAAGCCCTCCGGCCATCGCAGCCGGGCGGCTCTGCCAGTTACAGGTTGCAGGTCATGCAGCTCGGTGCCCCACCCTGGAAGGGTGAGGACCCCCAGCTGGCACCCCCAGGAGCCCCTCCCCCTACCTGCGATGAACCAGACGCAGAAGAAGAGGGAACCGGCTCCCCGCCAGCAGTTGAGGAGGGTGCTTGGTTGGTCGGTGCCATCCCCGCAGGGAACACAGCTGAGGAACAGCAGCAGGAGTGCAACGGCACTCAGGATGAGCAAGTAAATGGGGAGGAGAGGCTGTCGGGGACACTGGCCAAGATAGAGTGCTCCTGGGGACGGAGGAACAATGGAATTAGCACCTTGGATTCTCAAGACCTTCCTTCAACATGACGCACCCCAGAATGGACCCCTCCTCCTGCTGGCCTGGGCTCTCAGGACCTCCCTCTGTCAAAAGGAGTCCAAGTGGGTGAAGCGGAAGGTGAAGGAGGACCCCTTCCTGAAATTTGGGAGCCCAGTCACCTCCCAGGTAAAAACCCCAAGCCGCCCATGGCTCCAGCCAGTATCTGTATCCCCCCCCCCCCCAACCCCAGGGAGATATGCAAGCTCTGAAGGCAGAGCTGGAAGGAGGGCTCGGGAGAAAAAGCAGCCCAGCCCGGTCTCCATGGTCAATTCAGAGGCAGCCCATTTCCACAGCCCAACAGCAAGAAGGGCCGGCAAAGCTGCCTCTGTACCCGAGTCCCCAGCCAGGAGCTGCAGGCCAAAGCAGATGCCTGAGTGGCCAAGCTGCTTCTCCGGACCACACAGGCCACTGGCATCTTGGGAAGGGCAGCCCAGCCAGCCTTCTAAGCACCACACCTCGTGGGCCTGGTTCACGGAGCACATCCAGGCACAAGCCAGTAGTACTTCGTAAGCCAGGGTTTGGGTCCCACCAGCCACGGTGGTGGTTACGATTTCCCCAACAAACTAGGACCGATAGCCTCGCAGCAGATTGTACACAGCAGATGATGCAGCCCCTGCAGGAGCTGAGCACTTCAGAGCGGGTCCAGGAGCAAAGGACTCTGGCACCACCAGAGCAGGGGCAACAGGCCAGCCAAAGGGGCTGTGGGGAGGCAGGGACAGGGCGAGGGTTTCACTCACCAATGGCGATTCCTGCCACAGGCAGCGCAGCAAAGAGAACTTTTCCTAGGACTGGAGGAGGAGGAGGAGGAAGAGATTAGGCCACGCTGGAGATGGGGGAGGGGGACGGGACCCAGCAAAACCAAGGCGTGGAGGAGTAAGAGCAGCCTACCCATCAGGAGGGAGCGCACGGAGGAGGAAGGCTCTTCGGCGGCCCTCAGGAGGGGCCTCTCGGGCTGGGACTCCTCGGCCATGGCAGCTGCTGCTGGTGGTGAAGTCGAGGGGAGAACTGAAGGCGCTGGCGGGCTGCCCTTCCACGCCCACCCCACCCCTTCTTAAGCCTCCCCTGCCTCTGGCCTCCTGACCCAGGTGTTGGCCCACCCTCCGCAATTACAATTGAGGGGGGGGGAGGGGGGCAAAGTTGGGCTCCGCCCTCCTTTAAGGCCGTGGGTGGGTGTGTAAAGCAGTGAACGGCTGGGGTGGGAGGGACCGGCCCCCTCTTCCCTCGCTTGCCTCTCAGCTGACGGGCGGCCTGTAGGCGGGGCTCCCCAACGACCAACCTGGATGAGACAACCAAGAAGCCCCATGAAAGGAGGAAACTGAGCTCAGGGGCCCAAATGGTTCTGCACAATCATGGGCGGTCAGAGTTGCCTGATCTAAACTGCCCTCACTGGACCACCGGGGAGTCAATCCGGATTGTCCTTCACCCTCCTCGTAAAGCTTAGGAGGGCTGCACGTGCCTTGAATGAGGAGGGCGTAGAAGCCAGCCACTGGTTGCCTCCCACTGGGCCCGCCCTCGGCAATTGCTGGGTTGCTTACTGGGCTCCCCTTGAGGGCCTGGGGTGGAGCTTTGGGCTCAGGTGCCCAAACGCCAAGCAGGAGTGGAATGGGAGAGCGCCAGGGAACCCGCGGGGTCGGCCAGTGGCAGCAGGCCCGTTCTGCCTGGTTGCCAAGACCAGGCGCAGGAGACCCCCCTCTTGCTCTGGCCTGCACCCTCTCCAACCTGCACAGCCCTGGGAAGGTCCTGGAGGCCCAGAAGGTGGGCCCCTTGCAGCACCCCGCCCTGCCAAAAAAGGCCTCCCTCGGGTGCTGTCAGGCATTACGAGTACAGGCGCCCTTCCTTTCCCAGGCAGTTGGTAGTTTTTCTCATAAAGTTTACGTTGAACTTTTCCCACCGTTTGGGCTCCTTTGTCACCAGAGACAGGTCCCCCCCCCCCCCCGCCGTTGGCCCAAGCTGACCTAACCCAAAGTTGCCCCCCCCGCCCCGAGCAAAACCGATGTGGGGGGGGGGGGCAAGAGTCCTCCGCACAGGGATGCCTTCAGCCCCTCCCATCCCAGCGGTGTCCTTCCTGCCCTCCCCAACTCCATCTTGCAGGCTCTCGGGCAGCCCAGGTGGGTGCACTTGATGTGGCTTTGGCCGCCCCAGCCGAGCAGCGTCCCGGAGGCAGCAGAGGCCCGGCCATGTGCCTATCTGCTCAAGGCAGAGATGCGTGCTCTCTCTTGCTCAGCCGTGCCCAAAGGGGAGGTGGGTGTGCCGGACAGAAGCTCCCTCGGCCCCTCCCTATTCCCCCAGCCAGGGCAGATCTGAGTCCAGGTGGGGGAGCACAGCCCAAATGGGAGCCAAGCCCTCGGGGGGGGACGGACCCTGAGAGCCAGGAGGCCCAAGCGCCCCACACTGTTTACCTGAAGCAGAGGGGCTTCACTCAGCGGCGAGAGGACAAAAATGGACAAGCTGTTCTGACGCCACCTCACTCTTCCTTTCCAGCCCGCAAGGAGCAGCTGACTCCTCACTTCCTCCTGCTGCCTCTGCCCCTCCAACCCCACCCTGTGTGACTGTGCCTAGGGTGAAGTTGCTGAGGAGACGGCCCCCGGCCCCATTACTGGCTCTTCCCCCGGTCAGGACCCTTCCCAAAGTCCCAGGAGGAGAAGCTGAGGTGATGTGAGGCCTAGTCAGGGGCAGCCAGACCTCAGCCATAGACCAAACCTTTGCCAGCTGAGGGCAAGGCAGCTCTTCTGCACGCTTCTGGTGCCTGGGAGGGGAGGAAGAGGGCCCCCAGGAGGAAAGATCAGCCGCCCTCCCCCACCCAACAACCCCCCCCCCAGGCGCATGCAGCCCAGAGCGATTGAAGGGGCGCTTGGGTTTAAGGTCCGTCTTCTGCCAGGTTGCACAGTGGGCCAAGCGACTCCTGCAGCTGCCAAACGCCTTCACTTTTTGTGCTGTAAGGCCAAGGCTCCACTGGCAGCTCTTCTGTCCAAGGCTTGGTGAGGCTCTGTGCCCATCCTCCCTACAAGAGCCTTCTGGACACGCTCAAAAGTACGGTCATCAGGTTCAGCTTCCATGAAACCAAGGGGAGCTTTAATCTCTGTGGTGAGAACGGCCGCCTCGCTGCCGGCTTGCCGTGAACCAATGGGGAGAAACTGGATGGGAGGGGGGAGAAAGCGACACTGAACTGTTGAGATCTCTCTGGACAAGTCTTCACCGTCCTCTCCCTGGGAGAAGAGTGGCCATTCCCAAAGCACCTTGTTTCAATGTGATTGGACAATAAGAGACTAAACAATGGGAACGGGCCAGAAATCTGGCGCAAACTCTCACTTCTGGCTTTGCACCATTGCAATTCACTTGTCTTCTGGTAAACTGTACGTTTTTCAACCAAGGTTTGTTTTTACTGAGAAGCCCAAGTTGAGGCAGGTCTGGCATCTCTTCTGTTGCCCATAGACACCTTCCATTGTAGACAAGCCCACTAGGCCAGGAGCCTGGATGGAACTCAGCGGCCAGGCCCCCGTTCCAACGAGTGGTCCTTCACAGGGCTACATCTACATGGAGGGAAGTCAGCAGTGGGGGGCCATAAGGTTCCCTCTTAGGCCCAGGACTCTTCAATATCTTCATAAATGACATAGGTGAGGGAATAGAAGGGGAACTAAGCTGGCAGGAATAGCCAACACCCTAGAAGACAAGCTCAGGATTCAGAATGATCTTGGCAGACTTGAACAACAGGCCCTATCCAACAAAATAAAATTTAATGTGGAAAAAAGTAAGATTTTACACCCGGGCAGGAAAAACCAAAAGATCAAGCAAAACCTGGCTCAAAAACAATAACTGTGAGAGGGACCTCGGAGTCCTAGTGGATGATCACTTAAACATGAGCCAGCTGTGTGCAGTGGCAGCCAAAAAGGCTAATACAATCCTTGGTTGTATAAACAGGCGTAAGGTCAAAATCGTGAAGTATTAGTAGCACTTTATAAATCTTTAGGAAGGCCACACCTGGAATCCTGCATCCAGTTTTGGTCACCACATTACAGAAAAGATGTTGACACGTTGGGAAAAGTGCAAAGAAGAGCAACTAAGACGATTAAAGGCCCGGAGACTAAAACATATTCTGGAGAACGGTGGCTGGAATTGGGTTTGGCCAGTCTAGAGAAAAGCACTGGGGGGCTATGATAGCAGTAGTCCGGTATTTGAGAAGCTGCCACAAAGGGGGGGGGGGGGGGGGGGGAGGCAGGACAAGAAACAGTGGAAAGAAGCAACCTGGAATTCAGGAGAAACTTCCTGACAGGACAATTGACCACTGGAACAGCTTGCCCTCAGGAATATTTGGTGGCTGCCTCATCCCTGGGATGTTTCCAGCAGGGCCTGGACAGTCTCTTGCCTGAAATGGCGTTAAGATCTCCGGCTTGAGCAGGAGGCACGAGTTGAAGACCACCAAGGTCCCTTCCTCTGCCTCCAGGCAGGGCTCCCTGAGAAACACAGCTGCCCCGGGAAGGGGCCTCTCAACGCCACAGCAGGAGAGTCCGGTGACTCTCCTTGGGGGTGAAGCAGAAGCCGGCATAAAGCAGCCCTGGGGGCCTACTTAGGGTGTTTTGTGAACCTGGCTGTTTTCTTGCAGGTTCATTACCAGGGCGAGTAGGGAGTGGGGTTTGTTCTCATTTTATGTGGGGAGGAGGAGGAGGAGGAATCCTCTGACTCACCCAGACCACCAAGTAGGGCATCGCCCTCCAAGGGCACATGCGCCAAGGGTCTCCACCGATGAGCCCAGGCTAAACCCCTTCTCCCTGATTGTTCCCTGCAGGCCACTTCTATCCCTAAATCCTTTTGCGCTTGGCCAAGCCGGATGCAACCTTGTCCAAAGGGACCCCAGACTTCCCTGGAAACAATCTCCCAACGGAAGAGGTGATATCCAAACCGGAGTCTGCCCAAAAGCGGCAACTCTTTTTTCCAGCTGGTCACACATACCTCGTCACTTCGGACCGGACTATCATTTCAAGGAACCAGCAGAGACACCTTCATTTGCCCTCGACTGGGCCACGAGGAGCCAGGCTTTATTGGTTGCCGGTTCCTGCTGTGGAACCTGAGCCTGAAAAGGGCCCAGGAAAGGTTCGGTGCCCCTCCGTCGGCGACCGAGGGAGGGGCTGTCCTGGTGGAAGTCTCCGACCCCAGCGGCTTTTGGGGTCCCACCCCAGGCAGGAGGGCTCTCCCCAGGGACCAGCCGCTCGCCTCGATCCCCCCCTTTATTGAGCGCCACCACCTGCTCCCTCCCTCAACACCTGGAACGGGGCCCCGTGGCCGGGCACAATGACGTCCGCGATGGCCAGGACGCGGGCCCGGCTCTCGGCCTGTCGGGCGGGGTCTTCGCTCAGGGCCGCCCACTCGCCCTCGTCCTCCTGGTGCTCGAAAAGGTCTCCGGCCACCACCACGCTGCCCAGCGAAGTGCCCAGCACCAGCAGGCTGACGTCGCTCCCCGTGTGGCCCGGAGTGGGCAGCACCTCCAGGTGCCCCGCGTGGATCGCGTAGGGGGCGCCCCGGCGCAGCCCCGTCGGCAGGTAGCGGCCCCCCGGCTGGCAGACGTCCGTGCCCACGATCAGCTCGGCCCGCGGGAAGAGGTTGAGGTTGCCGGCGTGGTCCGAGTGGCCGTGGGTGCACACCACGTGGGCCACGTCGCCCGGGGACACCCCGCGCTCCGCCAGGCCGGCCAGCAGCCGCTCCCGGGCCCAGGGCCCGCCCGTGTCCACCAGGGTCAGGCGGGGGCCCAGCACCAGCGACACCGTCCCGTCCGCCAGGGTGGAGCCGTCCGCCTGCGCCCGGCAGTAGCCCTCCAGCACCACCGACACCGAGTACGGGCAGCCGGGCAAGACCAGCGGGGCCGGCCGCCGCCTCGCCATGGAGCCGCCGCCGCCGCCCCTGGCGGGAGACCCGAAGGGGAGACCGGTGGGCGGAGCCCCGCCCCGCCGCCCCGCCCGAGACGCAGCGCGCATGCCCCGCCCGAGCCCGTCGGCGTCGCCGTCTAGTGACGTCACCCGGGCGCCGCGCTCGGCTGGCCAATGCCCGGCCTGGCGGGCGGGCGGGCGATGGCGGAGGAGAAGAAGCCGAAGGTGGGCAGCGCGCAGCTGCCCACCGAGTCCATGAAGGTGATGGCCGAGTCGGTGGGCATCGGGCAGGTGCCCGAGGAGACGTGCCAGCTGCTGGCGGACGAGGTCAGCTACCGCATCAAGGAGATCGCGCAGGTAGGCGGAGGGCGGGGCGGGGGGAGGGAGGCGGACCCCCCCCCCCCCCGCCCCGCCCCGCCCCTGCGGCGCCCACCGGCTCCTTCTCCGCAGGACGCGCTGAAGTTCATGCGGATGGGGAAGCGGCAGCTGCTGACCATGGGCGACGTGGACCTGGCCCTGAAGCTGAAGAACGTGGAGGTGCTCGGGGAGGAGGGAGGGGGAGAGGCTCGGGGCGGGGGGCGGGGTCTCCGGGGCTCCCCTCGCTCACCCCCTCCTTCCCCCGCCCCCTCCCCGCAGCCGCTCTACGGGTTCCACGCGCAGGAGTTCATCCCGTTCCGCTACGCCAGCGGGGGGGGCCGGGAGCTCTACTTCTACGAGGAGAAGGAGATGGACCTGAGCGACATCATCAACACGCCCCTCCCGCGCGTCCCCCTCGACGTTTGCCTCAAGGGTGAGGACGGCACGACCCCCGCGCCCCCCTCCAGCCGCCAAGGGCCTTGCGGGGGAGCAGCATCCGCCTGAAGCTCCCACGGGGGCAGAGAGGTGCCTGTCCCTCGGGAAGAGTGCCCCCCCCCCCCCAATGCCGGGGGAAGGAAGGCAGCACCCCTCCTGCTGCGTATCCTCTTTCTCCGGGGGGGGGGGGGTCCATAGCAGCCTTGGAGGGAACCAGCTGGAAAGGGGCAAGCGGCCTACCCCCGTTGCCTTCCTGGGAAGGTCCCTGTTTGAGGAAACGGCCTGGCAGGCTCACCTGCACAGCCTGTGCCGTCTCTTGCACCTATATGGAGGTGTTTGGGGGTGGGGGTGCCCCAATGGGTGTACTGTAGTCAGAGCATGGCATGCAGCGGAGCTTCTCCTGCACCTTCCCACGCTCTGCTGTCTTGGAGGTTCCTCCTCCCCACCCTTCTCTCAACCACAGCAAGGGGGCAGGTGACAGCCAGAGGACCCGTGGCCCATGCAGCATCCACCTGTATTAGGCTGTTGAGCAGAGCAGCTGCCAATGTAGAAGCAGCCAGAGCGGAAAGGCAGTCAAGTGTCCTGGAGTTTGTGCTGCTTTATGTTTGTTTACAAGCTGTTAACTTTTACCCTTCCTGACCTGTCTTCCAATTTGACTCTGTAACTCTGCTGCCCAGAAGAGACCGAACCAGCTATTATCTCCCTCTCTTTGAAGCTTCTCCCTTTCTTCTAACAGCACACTGGCTGAGCATTGAGGGAGTTCAACCGGCCATCCCCGAAAACCCACCTCCGGGTGAGTTCCAGAGCAGGGCGGGCAGCTTCCTGCCTCAGGCAAGAGAATTGGCTTGGCAGCTGCTGCAGCTTAACCTTGACCGGAGTCCATCTCTTCCCTTCGCAGCCCCCAAGGAGCAGCAGAAAGCCGAGGCTACCGAGCCTTTGAAGGCAGCCAAGCCGGGCCAGGAGGAGGAGGAGGGAGCTCTCAAGGGCAAAGGACAGAGCGCCACCCCGGCCGATGGCAAAGGTCAGCCTGAGCACGGTGGGGGTGGGGTAAGGGGCAAAGATTAAGCCCCCTTGCTTGGCACCTGCAGGGGGGAACTGACCCTCCCAGAGCGAGGAGGCACTTCAGGGAAACCCCAGGGGCCTTGGCCACCCCAGCCAGGGCCTGCCAGCGATTGGCCAAGAATCTGGCTTTGCCAGGCACCCAAACCTCTGTCTCAGGTGGGGTGGGGGGGTCCACGGAGGACTGGCAGGTCAGGAACCATTTCAAGAGAGGGGAGCAAGCGGGGGTTTCCCCCATCTCCACTCCCTGGAGGAACCTTTGGCACTGTGCTTTCTGCTTGGCTCTGAGCCACCCCCCCGTTGGCTTCCTGTGGCTGTGCTTCATGGGCTGAGGGGGTGGGTGTGTCTCCTCTGTGGGCCCAGCCGGTCCCCCCAATAGGAAGGGGAGACGAGGATAACGGACCCTTTGCCTCCTCTCCACCTGCCCAGGCAAGGAGAAGAAGGGGCCCCTTCTGGAAGGAGCCCCCCTGAAGTTGAAGCCCCGCAGCATCCACGAGCTCTCCGTGGAGCAACAGCTCTATTACAAGGAGATCACGGAGGCCTGTGTGGGATCCTGTGAAGCCAAGCGAGCGGTGAGCAGGCAGGGCAGACAAGGCTGCCCCCCTCCCTCCCTCCAACCGGCCGGGTAGCCTGGGGACCTTCTCCAAGCCCTCTGCCACGTCCAGCGTCCTATCCCTTGGCCTCCAACAGGCGTGGGTGGAGTCTCCCTCGCCTGCCCAGAAAGGGGCATTGGAGCGTCTCCCCTGGAACTGGCCGGGCTTCTTGGCAATGCTCTTTGCGTGGGGGGGGGGGGGGGGGGGGAGAGGCAGGTCCTTTCCCACCTGATAGTCCTGCCCAGTACCCTCCTTTGGCTCTTACCCCTCCCCCCCCTTTCTCTCCCCAGGAAGCCCTTCAAAGCATTGCCACGGACCCCGGCCTCTACCAGATGTTGCCCCGATTCAGCACGTTCATCTCTGAGGGGGTAAGAGAATGAGTGGGGGGGGGGGGG